CACACACACGCACAGACACATTTAGATACATTAGATCTCATCAACAATCAGAAATCAGTGATTGGTTGATACTGACCTGGTGGGCGTGGTCACCTGCCGGTCTGCCCCCACAAAGCCGTCCTCCACCACAAAGTGGCTGCAGCTGATTCGCTGTCCTCGGCTGTCAATCACCGCCTTACACCTGAAACAACAGCAGAGATGTTGTGATGTCACCGATCAGACCACCGAGCACCTGGTCCTGACGAGGGTCACATGACTTTATACACCAACCACTGGCTGACTTTAATCCTGACACTGACCTTTGAACTGAAACAGGAAGCAGGAAGTGAGTCGGTGTTAGACTAAACATGTTTACAACATCATGTTTCGTGGGTTCATAACAGAGCAGCTCAATGATGACGCTATGACATCATCACCTGACACAGGAGCTGAACCGCTTACTAGATAAACAAGTATGAGCTGTAACCACCTCGGACTGTGAGTCTGAGGCAGCAGATAAATGTTGAACTGCTTTATGAAGTTTGAGACTTTAAGAACTCTGAGTCGTCCTCGAGACGCGCAGTGACCCGCTCAGCCCGCTTTATTAAAACACCGATGATAACCGCAGTCATAATGAGCGCCGGGCTCAGGGAGACCATGATGGATCGACCTGCTCCACTCTGCAGCCTCTCAAGGCCGCCTCCGCACAGCTCCACCCGATTACTGGGAATAATGATGCACACGGGCCTCATCCATAACCTGCACACACACACACAGTCAGAGCGCCTTTTACCCGCGTTAGCGTTTTTACTCCACAGTCTGAGTAACGAACAACAACCAGACGGATCATCAGTCACAATGACCTGTTTCCAGCTGTAACTGAAACGTCTCTGACGCTTTCTCATCAACAAACTGATCAAACTGAAGCTCCCAGGAGGACACCATGAAACACCAGCTACACAGAACTCCATTAAGAATCTGTCTCATTTAAGGTTTTCAGCTAAACACAGTCGAGCGACTGACTGGTTACATTTGAACCAGTGCAGAATAAAAACGAGCTCCGTCATCACTGCAGGAAATGATGCGAACATCAGAACAAACAGTCCACCGACAATCTGTCTGATTTTAGCTTCATACAGTCGTCTGTGGTTCAGTACAAACACAGGAAACCAACAGCTGACCCAGAGTAATCTGATTACTGCCGCCTGTGATTTATAACTTTAATTTACCAGGAGGGAAGTCACACGGAGGGATGCTAACAGGCTAACAGGCCGTGTCTGTGTGTGTGTCTGTGTGTGTGTGCATGTGTGACCTTCTATATACAAACCTGCCTGTCAATCAATCATTTAATCAGAAAACTGATGAGGCTGCAAACAATGATAGAGAGACACTGACAGAGAGAGAGAGAGAGAGAGAGGGAGGCGTGCAGAGAGGAGTCATCTATCAGAGAGGAGGAGGGGGAGGAGGAGGGGGAGGGGGAGGCGGCCGCGGGCTGATGAAGAGCCTCAGAGGTTAAATTATGATGCTCATTTCCTCTCCATAAATTGAATATTTTACTGATCATAAATTATCGTCCAAGCTCAGCACAGGAAGGTTCCTCTCTCTCACACACACACACGCACGCACGCACACACACACACACACAGAGTGGTTGCCGTGGCAGCCTGTGTGATCAGTGCTCTTTGTTCAGCCTTTAATTAAGTTAAAGGTTAAACACAAATGATAATAACTAAGCAGGAAGTGATTCACAGCAGCGGCCAATTAAAAGCTCCAGAAACACTCGGGGGCGTGGCCAAACCAAACGAACACACCCTGCAGTTTAGCATGATGCACACATGTGTGTCTGTGTGTATGTGTTACCATGGAGACAGTCAGAGGACAGGGATGTGGGGTTGATGTAAACACATATTTCCTCACCTCCATGTTTGATTTTATAACTCTGGTTTTTCTCTCTGTCAACTTTAGATTTGAAAAACTGTGAAGTATAAGAAACAAACGTTTCTCCTGAAACATCCAACCACAAACATTTAATTTGAAATGCCACAGGAAGTGCTGTTTGTATGACCAGCATGACGCGGCGCAGGTTAACGATGAGCGAGACTTTAAACAGAGCAGAGAACAGAGGGGAGGAAGCGAAGGCCAAACGCCAGCCTGACAGGAAGCTGTCAGTCACAGTCTACTCTACTGCACTTTACTCAGAGGTTTGATTCTAGTGATGGAGTTGCTCTTGTGACCCATCCAGTGACATCACTCACAGTCTGATGACATCACACTGTCAGCTTGACTCACCTCACTCGGACCCCCAGCTGAGTAGGTACTAATAAAGTACCCAGTACCAGTACTATCAGCTATCTTAGGCAAAACACTTAAAACCAAGTCGAGCCAAGTACGTGCTGGCTGAGGTACTACACAGAGCAGTACCAGTACTACAGAATTATACAGAGCACCGACAGTACTACAGTACTGCAGGTACGGCAGGTGTACCTGTTGGAGTCCTTGTCCACGATCAGGCAGCTGACCGAGTGTCTCAGGCAGTAGATCCCTCCAAACACAGCACTCATCCTGAAACACACAACAACAAAGCAGCCAATCAGCACGCAGGAGAACATGTGACCTGTCTGTGCACAAGTATGTGGACACCACACGCACTTCCTGACCTCCAGCGAGACTTTCAAAATAAAAGTTTTATTAAGGCAGTATTAAGGATTAAGGAGCAGGATGTCCTGAGTTCAATTCCACCATCAGG